ATCTGATAAATAAAGCCAGACAACGTCGTCAAAGGGCGAATCGACGACGTGTCTGGATTCATCAGATAGTCCGTAGACGGTTGGAGTTTGGTGAGTTTCACCATTTGCTCCGGGAGCTGCGCTCGGATGAGGGTCGCTTTCAGCGGTACTTTCGTCTCTCCCTGGCTCAGTTTGACGACCTACTGACCCGCATTGGTGCTAGGATCTCCTACCAGGACACCAACTACAGGCGCTCTATTCCAGCTGAAGAGCGCCTGTCCATCTGTCTGCGGTTAGTGTTTTTTACCCCATTCAGAATTCATAAATACTTACAAAGTGTGTCATTTTTCAATCACAATCCACAATGTAATAGCTCAGAAAACAGTATTCTGCAACAATATGGTGTCTATAATTACTGTCTATGATGTTTACTGTCTACTAGTTTAACGTATTTTATGCTACACAAGTTTTGTCACGTGATTTTTATGAATGTAATTGTGATAAATATGTTCATATCATTTTGTAATTGCAGGTTTCTTGCCACTGGGGACTCCTACAGGACCATTGCGGGGAGCTTCAGAGTGGGCATATCCACCGTCTCCATGCTCATCCCAGATGTGGTGGCAGCCATCTGGGACTGCCTCGTGGAGGAGTTCATGGCTGTGCCTGGAGCAGAGGAGTGGAGGTCCATAGCGCAGGACTTTGAGGTCCGATGGTTCCCTCTGTGCTGTGGGGCCATTGATGGGAAGCATGTGGCTGTGAAGGCACCCCCCAACTCTGGGTCCATGTTTTTTAATTACAAGGGCACCATTCCCTTGTGCTCCTGGCTGTAGTGGATGCCCAGTACAGGTTCAGGGTGATTGATGTGGGAGGGTACGGCAGATCCAGCGATGGAGGCATCATGTCCAACTCTGCCTTTGGTGAGGCTCTGCGCGAGGGCACACTGGACCTGCCTCCTGACCAGTGCATACCTGGAGCTGACCACAGAGGACCCCAGCCCCATGTGTTCGTGGCAGATGAAGCCTTTCCACTGCGCCGCAATTTAATGCGCCCTCCCCATCTCCAGCCATGAGGATGGCTGGAGATGGGCAGGCTCCTGCACCGAGGGGAGCTGCTGCCGGTGAAGAACCACTTCCAGGCGTGCAGCGGATGGCCGCCTGGAAGCCAGCAGTGGACATAAGGAAAGTGTTCATGGCCCACTTCAGTGAGGAGGGAGCACTGCCGTGGCAGCCCACAGAGTAGTCATGTCCACCACAAGACTGACCCACGACGGCTCTTTTCAGAGCCTAACATATAATGTGCTGAGCCTCTTGAATATGAAATTCTTTACATTTTTTCTGGCCATAGTCCAAACCCATATTGATTTGAACTGTTCTATTCACCTGTATACCTTCTGTGAGTGATGTAGGGCTCGAGGAAGGACATGACCACAAGGTACTTCCACGTCTGGCCTTTCCCTGCTTCTGCACCACTCTTCTTCACCTTCTCCTTCCTGCTCTCCTTAGCATATGTGTCCCTCAGATTCTTCCACCGCTTTTTGCAAACTTCCACTGAATAAACACATCAACTCGTAAGCAGGAAAGTAGTAGTTTTTTTCGCGGGGAAATATTTACAACTGTGAAAAGTTAAAATAACTTACCCGAGACACCAACCACCTCGCTAACCCTCCTCCAAGCAAGCTCCTTTTTATTTCGGTCCCGGTAGCTGTGGTCCGCAGTGTTATATAGCTCAGAATGAGCACCGACCTGAGCAATTGACGTGTCCTCCATAGCTGTCATCTACTAGTGTTTTTCCGGTAGTGAAATGCGTCACTACGTCACTGGAGGAGAAAGCTCCTGATTGGTCGGCACACGCGAATTCTCCCAAAAAGTTCAACATTGTTCAACTCTAGCGGCGGCCGCGTTGGAGGCACGAATCGCGCAAAACGCGCGTCAAAACGCTTGACATCTCAAAACGCTTGACATCTCAAAACACGCCGCGCGAATCGCGCGAAACGCTCGAATTCGCGCCGCTTTGGCCGCGCGAATTGCGCCGCGTGATCTCTCGCCGCTCCTTGGCGCGCGTCCCCCATGTTGTGTCAATGTAGACCCGCCGCTTTGGCCGCAGAAATCGCGTTTGGTCTGAACGCACCATAAGGAAAACAAGTGCCCTTATTTTACTTACTGATTAGCAGTCAGGTTCTTCCACAGAGGAAATGAAACAAGTCATGTGAAGATGAAACAACGTCAGATCCTTACAATATTGAAGTAAATATAAGCTATAAAAAGTTCTAGGGCTTTAGCTGTTGGCTGGCAATGATGCCGGTGTTTAGCTCAGTGGTGCAAATTGTTCTCAAGCCAATGGTCGCGCCCCTATAGACTTTTTGCCATCATTCTTTGCAAAACATGAAGATATAGATTTTGAATTAGACGTAACATCTTCCTCATATTTGCTAGATTCAAGCACAATGCCATCAGCCAGTTTAACAGTGAGGATGGTGCGCTCAGAGCAATGAGCAGTGTTTGTTTTCCACTACACAAAGGGTTTTGCATCGATCACACATGTCGGCATAAAGTCCAGGTATGAGCTTGGCTGTGGACATTACCATTAGTAACCATAGATGACACTGACAGAATCAATGAGGATGTATCAACACTAGAACTCTCACAGCTGTCAATTTGGCAAGTTTTAGTTCTAGAGGTGTGATTACTGATGCTTGCTTATGTACCTTTTTGGTGTATTTGTCTGGATTTGCCATTTTGTCATATTTTTTAAAAAAATACCTTTTATTTGTGAAATGGGAAGACTTCTACATTTAACTAAAATTCAAATGTATAGTCATTTTCTGACACCTGTTATTTCATTTGTGTTGATTGATTTTGGCCTCTAAATAGAATATTGATTGTTGAATCTTCTATTGTTTAAAGGTGCCATATTTTGCTTTTCTTCATTTTTCACAGTCCATCCCATACAGATGTGTGATAATAATTTGGGTGATACACCATACAACAAAACTTGTCGGATTACAGCTTTTTATGCCTGTGGGCCCGCCTCCCCCCGCCCGCACTGTGGCGTAGCGTCACGCTAAGCTAACTGTACAGCTTTCGCTGTTACAATCATTTCAGACCTGAGAATGCACTTTTCCCAACAAAGGCAATATGTCACATAGAGCCCTGTGTCCTTGATCCAGAATCAGACCCTAATTATGACATATGGCGAGTTAGTTAGCATTGTACCCACAGACTGAGGCTCCTGTTAGCGTCTTTTCTGTTGTGAATAACACCATTTCCAAATCAGCTTTTGAGTAGGTCCCGTTTCAAGGTAACTGTAGTTCTGGAACAGTCTTTTGGGAACTCACGTCTCTTGCAGAAAAACATCTGTGAGTTTCGTTGCGGATTTCAGACTCGCTGATTTGAGGCGGATCCCCGTGAACAAAAAGCCAAATACACTCGTCACATATTTACACCAAAAACACATTTTCCCCAAGTTGACACGAAGCTAACACAAAAAAGCACAGACGCTTATGTACTGTCTATGGACCACACGCTGGACTCGGAGAGAGGCTGAATGCGCTGTTTCTCCCCGCTGTCAATCATCTCTTGGAGGCGGGCTTTTGACATCACGGATTGGTGATTGTTCAAATAGTTGATTCGGCTGCAACTAACTAAATAGATCATGCATCTATTATAATAACTGGATAGGGTATTACTAGCTTGGAGCTGAATGGACCCATGTGCTTGGGGGATTCTCGCAGTACTGCAGACTGAACAAGACTATATTCACGTGGGCCACCCAGAAATTTTACCCATAGAACTCAATGTAAACTAAAACAGCTCGACCTCAGCAGACAGAGAACCTACAGCTTTCATTTTGTGGGGATTTTAGTGTCCCTTGTCATCCTCAACTTTTTTTTAAAGCCTTCGGTTTTCTTTAAATTCACACTTTAGTGCCACAAACTCTGCTCGTCTGGCTCTCGCTCTAACTCCCGTTCTAGCTCCGCGCTGATCAGCAGCACTGATTGGTCAGTGCGCGGCCGACTCCGTATTTGCCGCAACGCATCATGGGAGCTCGTCCACCGCGCAGAACCGGGAGGACTAGACGATGCCCAAATATAGCGAGTGATATGGCGAGTTCCGCCATCTGTGAGACAATAAAAGGAATGATTGATTGAATATGTCAGCGACCGTGCCGGCACTTGAGCCACTGAGCACAAACCATTCACTTGAATACGGCGCCATCTTGGGTCTAGTTTTTGAGCCTCTAGAAAATGAAAGGGAAAGATCGCTCTCTAACTAAAGCTTGAGGGAATCAATGAAAAAGCTACTCTGGGCATGAGTATGAAGGCCAAATAGCACTTTAATCATGTTTAAACCAGAGAAAAGTCAAAAAGTGTAATATGGCATCTTCAAATGCATGTTTTCCCTGTGTCCGCTCTGGTTTCCCCTCCTACTAATAATGTCCAAAAGGTCAAATCCTCCAGTTTGGAGGATGGGACCCGGGTGCTGGACTATGGCGATCACTGCTCCTGCCTGCTCCGCCCGAGGCAATAAATGATGGGTCAAATGTAGATGACAAATTTCCCTATGTGGACAGTAAAGTATAACTTTTAAGCTGGAGTATCTTTAGTTTATGACACTCTTTGTTTCCTGAATAATATATTTTGCTTATCCCACCAGGAAAAGTTTTATAAAAGTAAAATGTTGGGAACAAATACAGAGCGCAACATGCTCTTTCTTCAACATGATCTTATTAGATTAGAACATATTAATCTGGTTAAGAAATAATAAAAATAAGTCAAGTAGCCTAGCTTTAAACAAAATAAAATATATATATATATATATATATATTCTTATTATAGGTCAGCAGTAGAGACTGACTCCATAAGCTGAGATACAAAGTGCTTTCCAAACATGGTGTTCGGTCCACCAGAGGGTGAATAAGTGGCTTACATCTAAAGTAAGCGATCCAAGTTGTTTGCACATTGGACGCACAGCTCTTCTGCCTTCTGCTCTTTGCTCCAATATCACATGAAAAAGTAAATGATGTTAAAAGGGAGGGCTCTGCGTCCGGTGCAGCTCAGACGCGTCTGGCAAAGCGCGCAGCAGAGTGTGCAGGGGAGGATGTCACATAGTTGTGTTGGAGAGATACGCGCGCATAGCAAGAAGCGCCACGGCTTGATTAAATCTGACCCCAAGTGTTTTGATAACATTATTAGACATTGTTGAGCGGTGGAGACGGGGGGGGGGCAGAGCGGATATTTGCTGTCGACAAGTGCGCGTCTTTCTTGGCCAACTTTGGAGAGCTCGCACTGGCTGGAGAGCGCCTGGCACAAGACGCAGAGATGAATGAGACAGAGATACTCTACTCAAACAACCAAACAGAGAACTTTAAAAACTCATCATGGCCCAATCCGTCCCCGTACAGCTCCATCGACATCGCCACTTTCATGCACATCTTCCCGTCCATCTACGGAATCCTGTGCGCGGTGGGAGTTATCGCCAACGGACTTGTCATTTACGCAGTGGCTGCGTGCAAGAAAAAGATGGTGTCTGACATCTACGTGTTGAACCTGGCTATTGCGGATATGTTGTTTCTGTTGGTTATGCCCTTCAACATCCACCAGCTGATCCGGGACCGGCAGTGGGTCTTCGGAAACTTCATGTGCAAAGCGGTGGTGGTGGTGGATGTGAGCAATCAGTTCACTACAGTGGGCATCGTCACGGTCTTGTGCATCGACAGGTAGGTCACCAGTGAAGTGGCAAATTGAAATAAATGAATATAATTTAATTCAATCACTGTTGGACTTTACATGGTCATAAAACATTTAATAGATTTTAAAATGGGAGGGGGGATGATATTTTATTTAGAGATTCTAAACATGTTCAGTTTAATTTGAAGACGTGTTAAATTTATTTTGTGTTAGGGGCACTTATTGTAAAAATGAAACAGGATGCATAACACATGACTGTTTAATTCATGCTAATATATGCCAAAATAAGCTTTATTTTCCTTCAACATGGTGGTGGGTGTTTGTGAAAAGATTGTTTAAGAGTTGTTTACTCAGAGGGACCTTTATGTGGGCCACTTTAGCAAGGTCTTTATACAAATGAATCCTCATAACACCAGGATGATTGACTGTGGTAAATACAGACTGAAAATGGAAATTGCCTGACCATTGAAAACCGCACAATTAAGTCAGAAGAGAGGGCACAATAGAGCAAAGAGCACAACATGTATGATTAAGTAAAGTGAGTATCATAATGATCCCGGTGAGATCCAGATTTGATCAACACTTACAAGTTCTTATCATATCAGATGAATCCTATGCATACATTATGTTACATGCAATTATCTATCTTACACCCCTCATATGTCTCTGGGCACCAATACTTTTAGATCACAACGTTATATTTTTGAACCATTTACCGTTACATTTTTAAACCATGTGCTGGCAAAGCTATAGCTGTATAATATTAGGATTATAAAACCAATTTTCTTGTTGTTTTTTTGCAATTATTATGACCACAGATAACAAAATTCAATCTGTGCGTTGCTCAGTCTGGTTGAGCGATACAGCCATGAGCCACCACCCTGTTGATGTCAAAGATACAACAGGCCCAATAAGTACATCTTAATATAGCAGCAATGTAAACATGTTCTTTATGGTATGTCAACACTTAGCCAGCCTGCATAAGTGATTTTTTACGCACAGAGAGGAAAGGGAGGCCACACACAAAAGTGCGCAGACATGTTATTATGTCAGTGTTTTCATCCTAACATTTTTCACATTATGGCAAAACATGTGTATATTTCAACAAATATTGTTCCATTGTTTGTTTTTTTTTCCTTGGAATCACACATCTGTTTTTTGTCCATACAATACATTTGTACCTTAAAATACAAACAATTCTATTAATTTGAGTTGATTTTAGCTCCTAAACTCAATCTTGATTGTTTGAATATAGAATAGATGCAACAATCATAAGTTTCCAATATACAGTATACAGTATGGATACAATGTATTCTTTTAATTATATATTTTCCCCTTCTCAAAATGAACATTCAGAAGGAGTTGGCTGAGCTCCACTCCCATCTGTAGCGTGTAGTGGAGTGTGAAATAACATTCTGCTATTTAGATCTAAATCTAACATGACACGGCCTAATTGAAAGCACGCAACATGTAATGGAGTTCATTTGACTGGAAATCCCAAAACTCATTTGAAGGATTTTTGTTCAAAAAGCTAGATACCCGCTCTCTCCTCCATATAGTCTAAGGATCTGCCATAGTGTTCGGATATTGATAGTGGAACAGTTATATTTGCAGATATTTGTGCCGATCTGGGCTAACGTCCCAGGGTTCTTGTAACAAATATATTAAAAAACCTGAGCGAGATTTTGCATAGTGTTTAAGGCACGTGGATTTGAAATGAGGTCTGACTTGAGAAATCTTTGTAATAATAGCGAGCAGACCTCTGCCGAGACTTGAGTTCCATTCCATAACAAATAAATCTTGCTCTTTCAGACAAGTGAAGATACATTAGACACATGAGACAAATTCAGATTTATTTGCAAGCTTTGGTTCCAATTTGGATGAGTGTTCAACAACATGAACACACCTCAGGCAAGACCCTGCTGAAAAACACTTCTCCAAGGCTGTATCATTTCATTTCATGCATGTTTTGTGGATGTCAGTCAGAAACATATAACTGCATACAGGAGAATCCACTTTAGCTCTGAGTGGACGGGAAGTGGATTATTATATAACTATGATTAAACATTTCTAACATTTTTCAACATTAGACTTTGAAATACAAATACATATTCTCTTATCAATGGGAGTAAATATTTTCCTTAAAGAGATGCTAAAGTTTGTTATAGTTTTTGGACAGTTTTTTTCTCTACTCATTTATGATTTTAGTTGCCGAGGACAATTTCATGTTGACTGGAGTTCTTCAATGCTGCATGATATATACATGCTTCCACCGTTAAGTTTTTTCACCATAAAAGTTTTCACCGGTCAACAAACAAGTGTTCTCATCCACAGAGGAATTTTAGCACAGTCAGGAGGAAACCGGCGCTGGCAAAGGAAAACAAATCATAGACAGCCACCTTGATCCTTTTGGGGATCAAGGTGGCACTGTACAAGCCAGAACTAAAGAAATATATTAATTTAGTCAATGAGCCACTAAGCATAAAAGGCTGTCTTTATAAATGTCCTTGGTAAGCGATTATGTATCATAAATTGTCACTCCAGTTTGGTTTTATTTTTATGATTTATTGTTTGGCATATGTGGCGTTGTAGTGTACACTTACAGTGTTTTTCCTGTTGCTCTAACGCAAAAATTGGGCATATCATCATACAGACATTACTGATAAAAGAAAAAAAAAAATCACAAAACGCACTCATGCAATATAAAACAAAATTCATTAATCTTTATCTAAATATCAATTTCTGTTGAAACAACTTGTGGAATCCCCGAAGGGAACAGCAAATTTAGTGTATCTCTTTATCTCTATATCTTTGATGGGTTGATTTGGATTGTTCATCATATAGTCGTCTTGCTTCTCTGATAATGAGTCTCATCTATTATGGCCATGGAACAACTGAGCATCCAAAAGTGAAAGTGTAAACCTCTTGAGACCTTGAAGGATTTGGCCTGTCCTTGCCTGGTGTATTTACTGTATGTTGTGATACAATGACATAGTAACGTAGTGACAGAGTAATAGAGGCTTTAAGTAAGTAAGTAGTAAGTAAGTAAGCTTTATTTATTAACCTCACCTCTATTAAAAGAGAATATTGCTTTAATGATTATCACCCAAATACACCATAGGTAAAACCCTTCCTTAGGTCCTGGAGATGGGTCCCTGGTCGCTGAGCTGTAGGGTCAGATGGTGGATAAATAAGTATACTTTCTCCTTAAAGACATGATGAAAAATAAATTTCTACTTTATTGAATTAGAAGCAAAATGTATATTGATTTGATTATGTTTTTTTTTTAAGTGAAACTAAAACATGTGCCATGTTCCCTTTAGGTACATAGCGATTGTCCACCCAATGTCGGAGCGGAGGACCATCCAGTGGACCATCATCATAAACTTGCTGGTGTGGGTGGGCAGTTTCCTCCTCACTGTCCCAGTTATGCTTTACGCTAAGGCGGATAAGCGCAAAACCCTGGAGGTCTGCATTATAAACCTGGATGGGCCAGAGGACATGTATTGGTACACACTCTACCAGTCCATCCTGGGCTTCATCATTCCTCTCATCATCATCAGCACCTTCTACTCTCTCACCTTGTATCACGTCTTCAGCTCCATCCGTCGAGTCAAACGTAAGCAGTCGGTTTGGGCCAAAAGAGCCACTAAAATGGTTCTCATGGTTATTGCCTTGTTTCTTATTTGCTGGTCGCCCTATCATGTGATTCAAGTCATCAATTTGAGAAACAACATTCCTACTATCCCTTTTATGTATGCCTACAACATAAGCATTTGCCTGAGCTACTCACACAGCTGCATCAATCCACTGATGTTGCTGATTTTTGCCCAAAACTACCGGGAGCGACTTTGCAAGAGAATAACCCTTCACGGCTCTCAACATTCCTCCAAAGTCACAGTGGTCAAAATGGACGGTTCTAGTGCGGTGAATGACTCCAGTCATCGCAGCACAGCAATATGACTGCCAATGCCTTTTGTATAAAAACCACATGGTCAAAAACTTTTTACTTAAACTACATTGGAGTACACAAGGTTGTATAGTTGGACATGTTGTATAGTATGTCTGACGAGGAAAAAGTTAGGGAAGCATTTTTGATGTATCGAATAAAGGAAAAGACAGTGCTAGTTATCTAGTGACAATGTTGTGACCCTTTTAGAAGGGGTAGTCAAACATGCTGGTCAGTGTGTACTTTCAAACAAGCCAACATTCATTTGGGGTGAACAAGGATGTCTAGAAATCTCCAAACTGATTATCCCAGTTAACTGACTTGTTAACTTAAGTCTCATGGCATCTGGGTCAGGGAGTTTTTTGTCAAGTTGGATAAACGAGTAAATTGCTGCAAATCATTGGCCTCGTCTGCTCTTGATTAACCACCCCCGGCTTGTGCTGTGTCTATAACATGACTACATTTTTAATTTCCCTATTTTTGAACTCTTCTATACAAATATTATTTACTAAATTGATATGTTTAGTAATATGCGTTTCACACTCTGGTCGGCAACAAAATGCATTGCCTTGCCAAGATTTTTAAGGCACACTTTTTAAGTGCCAAAGCAGTGATCCTCCTATTACCAACGTAATGTACAGAGGTTTTTCAAGTAGTAAGAACTTGACAGCCGCACAGTTAAAATACATTTTTGTTGCATTTTTCATACTGTTTTTCACGCCTATTTCCATGGGCTATTAATAACTCAAGTAAGGCTTTATACTAATGCACTTGAGTAACATTTTATGTCATTATTACAGATGCAGTGTGTATGTATGTGTGTATGTACATACAGTATGGAGTTCCATAAAATGCTTGGATTCAAATTATAATGAAACATTAATTGTGATTGTTGTGAATTTTGATCAATGGAAACATATAATTATTGTGGTAGGTTTGCGACGTACAGATGTTGTTGTAGTTCACCGCTCTGTTGCCATTGAGATAAGTGTCCATTAAACTGCCTTGTTGTGAGACTCTCGGAGATACCAGACACTTGTTGTATAGTATGTCTGACGAAACCATCTGTTTGACAATAACCTGAGGTGAAAACATGGATAAAATTGGTTCTCCCTGTTGGACTCTCCCTATAGACCAATACATATGTGTTCTATATTTCTTTGTGTCTTAACTTTTGATTATCTGACCTGTGTTGGTGATTTCAACGGTTTTGTTAAGTCCTCTGAGATGACTACTGTTGTGATTTAGGGCTATAAAAAAATAAATTGTATTGTATTGTATTGTAAAATTGTACCTTTACTCACCACAGTTTCTGAGTGAGTATTATTGGAATATCCCACTGCATAGCAATGACATCAAAACACGAGGTAAAAATAATTTAAAATGTACAGCACATACTGACAAACAGCTGGCAACAGTTGGTCATAACATAATAAGAAAAAACATTTGTAGCATTATGATATACTTAAAGGAATAGGAGATTTCTCTTGTTCTTGTGTAAAATATTAAATACATCTAAACTGTGTGTTTTTTCTGCCTGTGGAGTGAACAGGCAGGAATTTAACCAAAGAAACTGGCAAATCAAACGAGGGGCTCACTCTGATTGGTTAAGAAATGTGGCCATCATATTCATTGTCTTTAAAATTAACATTGTGATCAGAAAAGGCCTTGACCTCATGTCTGGGGACACAGACACAAGACACAAATATGGTATGATATTTAAAAGTAAAAAATACGGCTGCGGTGTGAATCAATAAGGACATATCATAACTGATTTTATTCCAGCTCAAACAGTTTTTCCAAATCCAGGTTGTCAGCCCCAGGTCAAATCTGATGAACTTAAGTGGCCCTTTTACTAAAAGGTTTGGACACCCCTGATTTAGATGAGCCAAATGCATACTGTGTCCTTATAAAAACATATTACAATCCCACACAGAACTGTTTTTCTCAGTGAAAGTAGACAGGCCAGATCTCAAGTGAAAACTGACCTTACTGAAATGCAGAGACAGCACTAGCACTCAGGTGGTCTACAGCGTGCCCTTTCGGATCAAAGACATTTCGCTCTGAAACAATCATTTCGCGTCATACTTGTGTACACCAATATCTTTGCTTGTAGCTGTGATGATATAAAAAGTGCATAAGTTCATGGAGTACTATATTATGCTGTTTACTGCCTTATGGGGTATGACATGTGACGTATTGTGTTATACTGTGTATTTGTTGAACACAATGTGAAGGTCTGTGCTTTCTCTGATGACGTGTGTTCAAGATGCCCAAACTGTGAGTTTTTCACTGATGTGTTCAAAATAGTTGATACTTTTCTGTAAACAAGCACAAGCACCTTCAAAAATCTCACTTAGCGCTTCTCAGCTCATGTTTATATAGGCCCAGTCAGTACTAATGTGGTATTTACAGTAGTGTGCACTTTCATTTCACTGATAAAACAGCAGATGGTGTGTAGGGTACTGCAACTTTCTTTTTAAAATGTAGACTTCAGTTCAAATTCAAAAGGTTTTTCAGTGTAAGGTCATAAGTTTGACTCCACTGCGGTGTGGGTCGTGTTTTATGGTTTTTTAAAAAATGTGTGACTGTTGGAGGCCTTTTACTTTCTCGTGAATGCATTCCAAAGTTAAAACAACGACCTATTATTCACTGATACATTAGCCACTATACTAAAGCTTGATATCAAAGTGTGAGGGCGGCCTTCAGCTGATGTTTGTGAGTGGAGCTGAACAGTGCTGTTGCTGTATGGTTCTGTCTAAAAATAAGGGGTATTTTTGTTGGTGAACATTGACTAATGCTATTGGGAGGATAAAAGAAAGGTCTGTCATCCATTGAGTTACAGACAATCAGTTAACACAATCAGCCCAGGCCTTATGCAGCATGTGTCTTGAGCGAGTGTCCAAATAAGCCTAATAGACTTAGACAGTGACACAAAGAAAACATTGGACTGAAACAAGAAAATAACCACTTTTCTGCTAAGTAAACCATCAATTGAACTGTTTTTATTAGATATTTCATCATTTAATTTACTTTAATACAAAGAATTAAAGGATAAGCCAGGAAAAGAAAACATACTCTAATAGTCATAATCAGAATCTGCATTAGCATAGTTTGACTTAGAGTTAGGGACACAAATGATTTATGTTGCTCTATCTGCCGGATGGGTCACATTTCCGTACGAGGACATTCAAATCCAATCCAATTTTATTTGTAAAGAGCTTTTCATTGCCTGGACACAAGCAAGAAGTGGACCCTGTCATGTGGTCCTCTGCCTTTCCAACCCATAGTAACCTCTTGAGATGTGTCAGCCAACTTCAGCTCCGGACAATGTAGAAATTATGCATCTGTAAAGACCAGAACTTCTTGAGTCCAGTCATTGACTATTTGTTTCACAGCATCAACAGGTATATTTTTGAGTGTGGCAAGAAGTTCCTTAAGGCACTCATGTAGCTAGTGAGAACGTAAACATGTCATTCAGCCAACTTCAGCTCTGTCAAATGTGAACCTCTGTGAACATGTTATGTATTTCAAATCCCAGAACAGCCTGAATACGATACAAGTAAGTCAGGTTAAGTCTACAGTAATATATAATTACAAAACATGAACTATTTATTTCAATATAATTCAATATGAATGAATACTTTTTAATTTAAATGGAAAATTCTTAATATAAGTGAAGAATTATCATAAGTATTAATATATGTTTTTTGGTTGTTTTTATTGCACTGCCAAAGTATTCATTCTTTTTGTGAATGAACTTGAACAAACCTGACACTATTTACTTAACAATAATCCATAGACTGAAGCACCGCCAGACACCTGTAAGCGCGACAATCAAAACAAGATGTATTTTTTAAAGGTCTCACGCCTTTTTCTCTGTTGACTTGATTTCAGATGAAAAGAGCAAATAAAAATATGTATTAATGTTGCTTTTGCTTTGGTGTATGTGAGCTCCTTTGTGGACCTGTCAGTCTCTATTATTGTTAGCACTTGATTAGAATTCACTGTGGCGTGTGTGGACAATTATGAATAAAGAGAAAAACAGTTCTTTGTGCATGTTTCCTGTCTCGGCCTTATTCCATTACAGCTGATATGCTACAACACCGCTGCACTTTGGAGTTCACTAAACGCTTGGATCTCTCCCCTTTACGGGCGCCGCAAACACATAAATCACATGACTCTCTCGGTGCACACTTTGACTTCCTATCGCGGTGAGGCAGATCCGTCTGAGTGCAACATAAATCAGATTATAGATTCTTTACTCCTCTGTCTCGGGGCCCCATAGAAAAAATAAGTTCACTTTTTTTATGTCGTAAAGGAAGAGCTATTGTCATAAGGACATAAATAATGCACATCCGACAAATTTTCCGCACGGCTGCCGAAACATTCCAGAAGATCAATGTGCACATGGGATAAAGGTTTTTTCACATGAGGAGGAGAGACAGGGAGTTACGGCGCTCAAACATGGCTGTAAAAGAGTCACTTTGTGGAGCCGAAATGCTGAAATGGCACGTCGCTGTCATAATAAAGTCCACGGTCAATGGGGTGTACAGATCCAAGATGGCCACTATTTACATGAAATGTGTGCACCCCTTTACCCCACACTCATGTCTTACAAAAAACAAAAAAAGGTTAAAGGAATATAGGTGGACTTTCCCAAATTTAAGGAAAGAACGGCCCTCTCCAGCGTTTGAAAAAACTCTCTGGTCTTGTTAGACGAGCACGTATCACCAAAACTATTAATAATTAGGAGGACCAATAGTCTTGATGATCCATCCAGAAGAAAAATCCTCCTTTATACCCATTGGAAAAAATATATATTGTATAGCAGTGTTAACCATCACTAGCAGTGGCTCAGTTGGTAGAGCATTGGGCTTTGAGGTTGTGGGTTCGAGCCCAACGCAAGACCTCTCCACCGACCACTGAGGCCTGCTGTCCTTGTGTCCATGGGCATGAGGAGTGCAGAAGTAATGTTCGCTGCATGCCTTAATGTGTATATGTGTATGTGTAT